ACACATCGCCTTTAGATCCATATCATTTTGGTACATAGAGGCACGAATCTCGTCCAATTCGTCTTGCTGCATTCGTGGTTTGACTCTGCGGGTTTTGGGGGCTCGCCGTCTCTCCCAGCGGAGGCGTTCTTCCTCTTCGGCGAGCTCTTCGGCATACTGCTCATCTTCGGGGTAATAGGTTTGTCCCGCCGTCACTTGCCCGGGTTCGTCGGAGTTGTCCTCTTCAGCGTCAGCCTCAAGATCGACCGCCGATGTTGGCTTGCCGAGCCTCTTAGCGATGCCGAACCGCCAGCTGTCGTCTTGCCTTTGTTTATGTCATGTCCTCCGCTTCTGGGAGTCGGCTCGGTGTTTAGATCGAGCAGACAACGTCGACAAATTTTCTGCGCCTCTGAGGACGTGGAGAAGTTAAGCGTTGTCGGGGCGACGCGATCCATGACTTGGCGTGTGATTCCTGTTCCTTTTCCGTGGCTCGCTGCGGTTAAGAAGTTTATTTGGTTCTTCATCGTACTGTTGAAGGTGTCTTGCTCCTTTGATTTCCTAAGGATTTCTTCGAGTATCCGGGCCAGCTGAGCCAAGGTCTCAGGATTTTCCTCCGCGGTGGGTGGTGTCTGCTCTTTGGTGGATGCGTCCCCCAGAGTGTTCTTTTCTACTGTCCTACCTCGTGCAGAGTTATTCGCTGCGGCAGCATTTGCCGCGAGTTCTTTTGGGTCGGTGCTATTGGCGACGCGGTTGTCACCGGTGTTGTCGCTCCTGGCGATGCCTCTCACGAGGTTTGCTGCTGCGTCTTTGTCGCCAGGTGTATCGCCGCGCTGGTCAGTCATCGTGCTTAGGTTGCTTGCCGAGTGATTTTTTCGAGTAAGAATATCTCAAGTCCCCTTAGACGGCGCCAAACTGTGGACGGCGGATCCTACACAGTTGAATTTGTCAAGGGTTGAAAGGAGAACTGAGTCTTCTGAGTATGAATCACAAAGCAAAAGTCAAATATATGTTTTATTGCTGTTTTTGCTTAAACTCTGTTTACAAATGAATCGATCCCCTTTCTGGGTGAATTCAAAGACCTATATATAGTACTTCTAAGTAAAATGGGCTAGCTAATAAATAGACCTGACCCATTAAGCAATATATTAAAATTAGGCCCATTAATCCATTTAGTCCATTTTGTTAATGGGTTTAATGTCATTTTGGGCCTAGATTCAGACTAGGCATTTCTAGACTTGCTCCGATTTCGTTAGGATGCTACCA